ATATGTCGGTGCTAGATATGGCAAGAAATGTAAACATTTTTTTTCGATTTCTCTGAAACGGAGCAAAAACGAGCATATGTCTATAGGACTTTTTTTCTTAGTTTTTTACTCCTCTACACGCTCCCGAAGTTTTGCCATTTAATTTGGAAACACCCTGTATACATTTGTTGCTGGAACTATATATATAGTTACTGTTATTATTATTATAGCAGTAATAATCATAATTATAGTAATATATAATTATAGTTACAAATACCAAACATTTTTCTCTCTGTGCGTGTCGCCTATACAAAATTAACGAAAATGTGTTTATTTTTGTAATTCCTAAACTAACAGTGATATGTTAATAAAAAACGAGCATGTGATGAAGGAACATGAAACAAATATTGTAAAAAAAAAATCATAATCTTTGACCGTTTAATTAAAATAACCGAAAATAGATCCACAAAAAGAACGTGATGTTTCGATTTTCTTTGGCATATGATAGCAATTGAAGGGAGTGGAGGAGAGTAGAGGGGACGGCCAGTGAGCATTTAATAACACCAGTGTTTGTTTGCGTCTATCTGTATTCATTTTCTTTTCGCGTGTGCGTGCGGCCTAGGACAAGAACAATCGAAAGTTTTCTCTCTCTGATGGGAGAGTAAGGTATCGCCACCGAGCACCATGACGAGACTAAACTTTTAGACGGTATTTCGCGAGTGTACTACCTTAAAAACCTTTCTGATATTATAAATTGTACAATACGAAATAGGAGTAATGGCCGTGACGGTCAAAACTAGATCTTTTAATACTCAAATAATTCAATCAGAATTACTATATATACTATATATGTACTTGCATACATATCATATTTGTAATTATTCGAACTGCGCGTCGAATTACTTTTCCGGATTATAAAAACCCAATTAAACTACTGTAGTAATATTGCGAATTAAATTAACAAGTAATATTAATAATTTGATGCTCAATCAGGCATCCTATTAAGAAGATATTAATATGCTGAAAAACTGTAAATAAATTTATTGCGAAAAATATTACCTCGGCCGGGAATCGAACCCAGATCTTTTGTATTCCATACGAGCGTCCTAAGCCATTAGACTTCCCTCGGTAGTCTAATGGCTTAGATGCTCACTGGCCGTCCCCTCTACTCCCCTCCACTCCCTTCAATTGCTATTATATGTCAAAGAGAACGTCTTAGGACGTTCATATGGAATACAAGAGATCCGGATTCGATTCCCGGTTGAGATAATATTTTTCGCAATAAATTTATTTACAGTTTTTCAGCATATTAACATCTTCTTAATAGGATGCATGATTGAGCATCAAATTATTAATATTGCTTGTTAATTTAATTCGCAATATTACTACAGTAGTTTAATTACGTTTATATAATCCGGAAAAATAATTCAATGCGCAGTTCGAATAATTACAAATATGGTATATATACAAGTACATATATAGTATATATAGTAATTCCGATTGAATTATTTGAGCATTAAAAGATCTAGTTTTGACTGTCACGGTCAGGGGGGATCCCGTTTGCCTACAAATCGATTGCCTACAGTACCATTTGCCTACATCCCATTTGCCTACAAATCGATTGCCTACATGTTCTGTTGCCTACAGATCGATTGCCTACATGTATTATTGCCTACAGTTCGATTGCCTACATGTACTATT